GAGGAGGAGAAAAAAGAGAAGGAAAGAAGAGAGAAAGGGGAGGAGGAATAACTTACTGAACTTGGACTTGTCACTGGGCAAAGAGCATTGCATGAAATCTCTAGTTTATTCCCAATACCCTCCAAATATCTGAAGAGGGGAAAACAGAGGGAATTACTACGTTAGTGAAAATTTCACCTAACATCCACCTATGGGTAGGTGGACAGGGGAATCTTATTAATTATAAGCTAAGCAAGATGACATTACAACATACTAAATAGTAATTTCAGAACACTTTCCAAAAAAAGGGTGGTGCCTGGGTGGCTCAGTCGGTTAAGCATCTGCCTTTGGCTCAGGTCATGATCCCAGAGTCCTGGGATCAAGTCCCTCATTGGACTCCCTGCTGAGCAGGGAGTCTGCTTCTCCTTCTCCCTCTGCCCCTCCCCACTGCTCAGTGCTCACTCTTTCTCTCTCTCAATTCTCAAATAAATAAATAAAATCTTTTAAAAAAATAACATTTTCAAAATAGTATTTGTAATTGTCTTATTCAGTAACACCATTATAGTATATTTTTACCAATAATCTCGGAAGATAACTTTCACATCTTTATTTCAGTTAAAATTAAATTATATATGTACGTAAGGAATAATTTCAGGCTATCAGATTTTATTTTTTTGCTATAATGCTTTTATAATGCTTTTATAACTACTTTCCTAGAACTAGGTACATACAATGGCAGGCTGGTTCACAATGAATTTCAGTTAAATCAACATCATAATCTGTTAAAAGAGTATTTTGGGATACTAATATTTTCATAACTCAATTCAAAGTTTATCCAATCGACATGTCTACAAAGCACATTGCCCAAACATTAACTTTTTATTAGGTAATCTACCACCATGCTGACAGGTGGGCCTTATTTGCCTTGGCAGGAGTTCAAAGTTTCTAGAAGGTATTGATAGCTAAATAGCTATTAACACTGATAAGAGCTCTTGCTGTTATTTCTGTGGCTAGACCACCATATAGAACTGATTTCAAAAAAGAGTAAAAGAGCTCACCCTTCTGTTAACGTATTCATTGATACTTCTAAACTTACCTCCCAAGACTGAAAAATTCCCACTCTTTATGTTGACAATCTTCTCCCAATTTCTCAATGCAAATTTTTTTCTCCATGCCACGTCAACAGGTATGACCAACTAAGTTCAATCTTTGTTCCAGGATATATATATGCTTTAATATTAATCATATATTTTCACCTTAGCACTCATCCTGCATTCTATCAAAGTCTGTGGCTATTAAAGCTAGAAGACTATGAGAAATGCGGCATATCTTTCCTTTAAAGGTAACGATGCAATTAAAATCTGGCTTTAATAATCAGAGTAAATAATCAGTGTCCAGCATTTCAACCAACAATATTAATACTGAGTCTCTCAGAAAGCCACAGTCCAGTGTGGTTGTGTGAGAAACAACTTGCACCCTAAAATGCTAGCGAAAGCATTGGACATGAAATTAAAAGATTCTGGTTTGAGGATCTGATACACATAAGTTAGGAGATTAGAAAACAGTACTTTGTTCTCTAAGGTAAAGATGGGGAAAAATATACCTACCTTGTGAAATAAAAGAAAATGTATGTTAAAATGTTTTGTAAACTATAAAACACTATAAAAAAATCATTAATGTTTTAATTAATGATTAATTAATTAAATGATTAATGATGCCTTTACATACTCTGGGTAAGAATATAAAGGTAAAGTTTCCTTCAGATTAATGGAAAGGGCAAGAAAAGAAAAGAAAACTGGTGGTATTGGCTTGCAATTGGCAGGTATAGGGGGCTGACAACAAAGAAAGGGGGTAGGAGGCAAGGGGTATAATATCACTATAGGTTAGAGAATAAAGGAATGATAAATAGCAGCCCTGGTGACTCATGGCAGACATTAATCATTTATTGAGTGATTTCTATGTGTCAAAGTGGAAAAAGAATGTAAGATACATGCCTTTGAGGAACTTACATTCAGTGATAGACATTACTAGTGTTAACCAATATTTATGAATCTCTTCCCTTTCCTGGACATTAAGGGAAATTATACTTCCTATGCATCTAAATTTGGCATAGCTATATGACTTGCTTTGACCAATAAAATACGAGTGGAGGGGTGCCTGGGTGGCTCAGTCGTTAGCGTCTGCCTTCGGCTCAGTTCATGATCCCATGGTCCTGGGATGGAGCCCTGCATCGGGTTCCCTGCTCAGTGGGAAGCCTGCTTCTCCCTCTCCCTCTACCCCTCCCCCCTGCTTGTGTTCCCTCTCTCGCTGTGTCTCTGTCAAATAAATAAATAAAATCTTAAAAGAAAAAAACACGAGTGGAAATGACAAGTATCACTGAGAATGAAACCATTTAAAAGGCAATGTGCAATTTCTCCATATTTTTTTATCATGCTCCAGAAATGATGGGAGCACTGGTTGATAAGGAAACAAAACATAATGAAAAAGCCTGAGGTTCTGAGCTTTGACATGGAGGCTGCCCTAGAGTAGACTTTGAATAAGCAAGAGCAACTTTGAATAAGCAACTTTTGTCTTATTAAGTCAGGAGAATTTTTGGTTTTATTTGTTACTGCACCGTGAGCTAGCCTATCCAGACTAATACCCATGGTAAAGAGAAATCCTTGCCGATAAAAAAAAAGTTAAGTAAATATGTTGATGTTCTTAAGACCCTTTTTCCTAGTAGTGTCATTTCATGAATTACTGTTTCTGGAATTTATGCTCTTTATTCTATTGTACTTTTTAATGTGTATTCTTATAAAGTAGAATTCTGAGAAGTGAATGTAAAAGTGACAGGTGTATTTTCAGAAGATGGTGTTGCCCCAAATGAGTTAATCCAATCAATTTGAATTTTACTATGGACCAGAAGTAGAAATCACTAAATTTAACCTTTATTATTACAAAGTAATTGTAGAAACTTCTTTGGCACAATACCTTTCAGAGATAAATATTGGGAGTATATTTTGAAGGATGTATTACATATATAGCAAAAGAAAAAAAAATCCTGTCTTAAAATTATAAATACATATATATGTGTATATATGTGTGTGTGTGTGTAGCGTACGGTAAATATATGTATTTACTGTAATAGGCAGCATCCCAGATGACCTGCAAAGATCCTTACCTCTTGGTATTTTCACCCATGTTGTACCACTGTTGGTCTAATAGCATATGGCAGAAGTGAAGTCACTTCCATGATTAAGATATAAAAGACTGAAACTTCCATCCTTCCATCTGTTTCTCTCTACCTCTACCTCTAGTCTACCTGTCTATCTCATCACTCACTGTAGGAGATGCCAGTTGCCTTTTTGTGAAAACTTTCAGGCACCTCATGCATAAGGGACAAAGGCCTCAGAAAACTTCCAGTAGGGCCCCTAGGCCCTTTAACAGCCATGTGAGTGAGCTTAGAAGCAAAGTCTTCAGCTCCAGCAGAACTTGAGATGCCTGAACCCCTGGGGCAGGTTCATTACAACTTTGAGACCTTAAGCCAGAAGACCCATTGAAACCACTCCCAGATCCTGACGCCTGGAAACTTTGTAAGATAATAAATGTTTTAAGCTGTTACATTGACAGTAATTTGTTATGCTACAATGGATATCTAATATATTTGTCAAAATTGAACAGAAAAAAAAGCACATAGGGTTTATTGAAGCCTTTAATATTTTAAACTTGTAACTGTTACAATTCTCTTCTTTAAATTAAAATTATATGGGGCGCCTGGGTGGCTCAGTTGGTTGAGCGACTGCCTTCGGTTCAGGTCATGATCCTGGAGTCCCTGGATCGAGTCCCGCATCGGGCTCCCTGCTCGGCGGGGAGCCTGCTTCTCCCTCTAACCCTCCCCCATCTCATGTACTCTCTCTCTCTCATTCTCACTCTCTCAAATAAATAAATAAAATCTTAAAAATAAATTAATTAAAATTGTATGATGGTATTGAGGCTTGCAATGATGACTGCTGTTCTTAAATACACAGGGGTTTATTTTCTAATGGGTCTTTTTTTAAAGACAGTTAATGCCACCCAAAAGCACAAGATGAATTTTACTCAAATATTTATTGGATGATACAGTATCTTTTAGGAAAAGCATCTGCCACAAAAAAATGTTCATTTCAAAATGCTATATTGCTAGTAGGATCACCGCTCTCCTTTGCAGAAGGGCATGTTTTGCACAGCGTGGGTGGGGCTGACTTCAGGGTATGTGGATAGTCTACCAGTTGAGAGATGTTTTGACTTAAAAGTTGTTCTTCGTTTCACTAAATTGTATAATGTCAAAAGATTCTGCCGTTACTGAAAAAGAACATTTAAGGTCAGATTAAATACATGACTTTATCAATGTGACTTTCTGATTTCCAAACTCCAGAGGATCTTCAATGATCTGATGGTTTCACTCTCAGTTCATCAGCAATGCTTCTCTAAGTGGATCTAGTTGAGTCTTGGGGAACCAGGCTAGCTGGATATTCTTAACTGGGTAACCATTTCGTTTAAGCTGCAACTTCTGGTGGAAATGGAGAAGAGAGGGGACTGGAATCTGTATTAGTTTGCCAGGGCTACCACACTAAAGTGCCACGGATTAGCTTAAGCAATAAAAATTTATTTTCAAGATTCTGGAGGCTAGAAATACAAATCAAGTATCAGGAGGGTTGATTTCTTCTGAAGATCTCTCTCCTTGGCTTGTAGATGGCTATCCTCCTTTGTGTCTTCATAGAGTTTTGACTTCGTGCATGTCTATGTCCTAATCCCCTCTTCTTACAAGAGCACCAGTCATAGCGGTTTAGGGTCCACCCTAATGCCATCATTTTACCTCTTTACACCCTATCTTCAAATACAGTCACATTCTGAGGTATGAAATTCAGACCTCAATATATAAATTTGAAAGGGGACACAATTCAGTCTATGAGACCTGAAATATATTGTTTAGATAATAAACTAAAAGAACAAATAAGTAAAATCATTAGAACACTTAAGCAGAGCTGAATAAGAGATACGTGTTACAGTAAAAGTGGCAATGGATTCAGATTTATTATAAGTGACAAGGCTCAGAAACTATGTAAGAAATAATATAAGAATCACAGGTGCCTGGGTGGCTCAGGCAGTTAAGCATCCAAATCTTGATTTCAGCTCAGGTCATGATCTCAGGGTCATGAGACTGAGCCCTGTTTTGGGTTCTGTGCTGGGCATGGAGCCTCCTTGAGATTCTCTCTCTCCCTCTGCCCCTCCCCCCGACTCATGTGCTCACTCTTTGTCTGTCTCTCTCTAAAAAAGAAAAAAATGAAGAAAGAAATACAAGAATCAATAGCAACAAAACAATCATGGAGAATTTATCCATGGAGCCTGGAGGTGGGGATCATTGGGGATCATCTTGGAAGAGGGCTACTACGTGTAGAGTGTGTCTGTGTGTTTTACATCATCACGAGGTTGATAACAAATTATATCTTTAAATGAGGGAGCGTCGAAAATTGCTCTCTGGACCACTCAAATTCATCAAGGTATAAAGAGATTAAGGAAAACATATTTGAGCATTGATATTTTTTGGAATTGCGTTGTTTGTATTAAAAGAGCATCGCAAATGTTTTATGCAGAGGAAATAAAAATCACAGTTAAAAAGCATATCAAAGCTATCATAAAATATGTATGTGTTAAAGAAATCCAGAGTGAAAAAGTAACCAGAGCTGGGTATGGACAGAGTAAATACCATTTCTAAAAAGTAAATTCACTACTTGTAATGTTTAAAATTAAGAAAAATCATGCTAAGACAAGCTAGTTAAGTTTGTCACAGGGGAAAATATGAGAGAGTATGTTCAGATGAGTAGTTCTTAGTTGATTTCCAGGAAAAATTTGAAAATAAAAACTAATATGCTTTCTCTCAGGAATTTTAGAACATACCAAATGCAAAACAAAACAAAACAAAAAAACACTTTGTGGTGTGTATCTTATAGTGAATAAATATCAATAATGTTCATAAAAATTAGCTTCACTTATTTGGGCTATTTGTTTACTTAGCACATTTGGTTTAAGTTAATCAGGGTAATCTTGTGTGTGTGATGGTGTATCATACAAAGCAAATAAAGATATTTTATTTCTCCTTTTGTGAAAGAATTACAAGAAAGACACTTAAAGGCAATTTGCCCACTAAGTTGTTTTAAAGGTTTTCAATACTAAAATCCATTGTTATTTTACTTCCGTGCAGGAGTCAACAAACTTTTTCTGTAGAGGGTCAGGCAGTAAATATTTGCAGCTTTTCTGGCCATAGCGTCTAGTTAACTACCCAACTTCACCACCACAGCATAAAATAAAAACAGCCATCAACAATACTTAAATAAATGTGGCTGTGTTCAATAAAACTTTAGATATGGAGACTGAAATTTGAATTTCAGATCACATTCATGTGTCACACAATATTCTTCTTCTTTTGATTCTTCTTTGTTTTTCAACACGTTAGAAACATAAAAACCTTTCTTAGCTCACAGGCCATGCAAAAACAGATCACAGTCCAGATTTGGTAAATGTTTGGTTTAGAACCACCCTATTAATATGCTTATAGGCTGATAAGATAGGTAAAACACTGAAGAGGCACTGAAAAACACTCAAAAAAGTGGAGGCGCTCTAATAAGTTCCTAGGTGTTAAGTCCAGCTGCCTTCTGGGATAATCATTGTTAGGTATCGAGCCAAAACCAATTAACTGATGTTGAGTTCATTGAGTTTCTAACTGAAATATGCAGGGTGGCTGAGCCAGGGGAAGATGTTTACACTTTAGACAATCAGAGGTGATGTAATTTTAGCAATAAGTATATCACACATGGTTTTATTGTGATAGTCATACACATTGTTAATAGCTAGCACATATAGAGTACTTTCCATGATCCAGAAACTTGTCTAAGGACTTTAAATGCATTCAATTATTTAATTTTCACCAAAAAAAAAAAAAAAACCACCTAAAATGTGGGTAAAACTGTTACCCTCATTTTATAGATTTTACCTTTCAAAGTTGTGTCACTGTTTATCTGGCTTCTATTATCTGGGGTGTGTGTGTGTGTGTGTGTATGTAAAAATAGTGAACTATATATGTATATATATTTCTAATCATTTGTACAAGAGACCATGATCACTGTTATGATCTTCATCCTTCTTTTCTCATCCATCATTTTTTTAATTACACAAAATAAAAGAGAGCAAATGGAGATATTCTACCAACTTAATGAGCACACAACTGGCATTATGACTAAGAGCATTATTCCCAGTGTTTGTGCCTGGGGGTCTGATGAAGCCTTTAACGTCTGGTCCTTCTCATACATTCTCCCAAATAGAGTCACGGTCAAGAGAGGTCCAGATGGCGGCTTCACGCTGAACAAGCGTCCATCACTCGACACCTAATTAAAACATAAAGAAGTTGACTGGGTCTCCCTCTAACTTATACAACCTCGTAACACCTTCTAAAATTCAGTACAACTGGATGAAGAAACAATAAAAATAATGGCTAACTTCTCTTCTAAAAGAAATTTTGAAATGGTACAGGGTATAAGAAAAATTGGAGCTATGGAATTGGCACTGATTCATTTATTATTGAAATGGCTATAATCAGCATCTTATAATTTACTTATTTGAGGAAGTATTCCATGAGTCAGTAAGCATAAAGCAATAGGTTTGGGAGTATCTAAGAGAAATCTAGTCCTCTCAGACATAATAGGCTCCTCCAAGTGGACAGAAGGGATTGACTGAGGGGTTTTGAGCTGAGCCTCTTTCATCCCTGTCACTCACTCACCACAGCCTCCCAACCTGCTCACTGGCCCTGGTGCCCCACAGTAGCTGTTCCTACAAGGAAGGGGGAATAAGAACAAAACCCACAGGTAAGTCAGGGGAAGAATATGGCTGGGCAGAGTTTATGCAGTAAGGAAATATTTCTGGACTTTAAAAAAAAAAGTGCTTGCTTTCTTGCCTATTTCAGCCACTGGGTCTTCACCCACACAGTGAGAGGAATTCCCTTCAACTTTTCTAGGCTATCACTGCCCATGATGTGAAGGGGTTCCCTCTGGTGGGACCAGTCCTGAAATCCTTCTCGAGTCTTCTTCCTACTCAACAGACCCAAAACAGTCCAGCCTCCTCCCAATAGTCTCCACAGTAACATATTTATTTATTCTTAAGGATACACTAAGAATTTCCGGACAAGAAATTCAACCTGCTCAGTGTCCTTCATGATTCCCCAAGAACAATTTTATTCTTTCCAAATGGAGACACTTTTGATATCTGTAAACACTTCAGTAGGTTTTGTACTCAAAAAGTGCTTCCGGGCGCCTGGGTGGCTCAGTTGGTTAAGCGACTGCCTTCAGCTCGGGTCATGATCCTGGAGTCACAGGATCGAGTCCCGCATCGGGTTCCCTGCTCGGCAGGGAATCTGCTTCTCCCTCTGGCCCTCCCCCCTCTCATGCTCTCTCTATCTCATTCTCTCTCTCAAATAAATAAATAAAATCTTTAAAAAAAAAAAAAGTGCTTCCTCTTACATGAAATGTCAATATTAAGCAAAGGTTCTTACCTGAAATTCTCCAGGTGCAAGCTGACTTTCACTTAGCAACACCTCAGGGAAGACATACTGAGTTCCAAAAGTGCCACTGAGGGAAAACATTTCAAACCTGGTAGAAGCTGTTTCAACTGCACCACCACAAGTGTTTAAGTTTGTTGTTTTACATTTCAGCAGGGTACAAATCTAGGAGAAAAAATGCAAACCAGTAAGTCCTAAGAAAGCCAGAACTGATACACCCTCCTGGGCTAGAAATAAGGCCTATGCAAAGCCTATGCCCCTTTGTTTGATAAAATATTACATTTTCATTAGATTAATCCAGCTCATTGATAGCTAATTCAACAACTAATTCAACTAATTCAGAAAAGTAAAGGACTTCAGGCCCTATTGCTTTCTC